CCTGATGGGAGAGAATCGTGGATCGGCCGCCTCCTGCACACCCCCCCACTGGGGATCAAGCCCTTGACCAGAATCGAACCCGGGACCCTTCAGTCCTCAGGCCGATGCTCTATCCACCGAGCCACACTGGCTAGGGCCCATGATTCTCTCTCATCGTGAATGTTTCTCTCTCTCCCTCCCCCTTCGTCTCTGAGATCAATAAACATGTTTTTTAAAGCCACAATCAAACAAGCCGGACGCTCACTCTACCTTTTCTACATTAATACATTCAAAATAGTAAATATCATACCTTTATCCTAAATGTTTTTGTGTGGGATTGTGAATGATCCTCTTTAATGCACCATTTTACCTTCTACAAGTTGTTGAATTTCTAATTTCATAACTTCACGTGGATTTTAAGTAATGGTTGAGTCATGTTTTAGTATGCACAATTCGATAGTGTGTTTTGGTATTTGTCTCAGGGGACGTCCTCTGTACCAGCAGCCGCCACTGTGTCTACAGTAACATCTGGGGATCTGGATCTATTCACGGAACAAACGACCAAGTCAGAAGAGGTGACAAAGAAACAACTCTCCAAAGACTCCATCTTGTCCCTGTATGGCGCAGGGACCGTGCAGCCACAGAGCGCTCCTGGTAATTCTTTTTGAAGTCTGCTTTCAGGGACTGCAGTGGAATTACTGGAAGTGAGCCTTTGTGGTTATAATATATCAATTATGTTTCTTCCCCATTTTTCTATGTAATGAGTGCTTTTGTTGTTGCAATTTACACAACTACAAAACTGAAATGAATAAAGCATTAGAATTAAAAAGCAGGTACAGGAGTCACAGAACTTTATTCATTTAGATTAACAAGCTGTTCACATATCACTTAATGTTTCACAAGCTTTTAGGACATAGATTATCTTTGAATAATTATTTAAATTTGATTTGCATGAAGTGTATAACTGTACAGCATGGTATTTTCTCTGCAAGTAAACAATAAGCAGTCTGAATTATTACACGAATTCAAAAAAAGGTTTGAGATTTAAAAAATAATTATAATAAATACTAGCAAGGTAAGATTTGTTGTTTACACAGTTTTAATCTGTCAGACTACCTCTTTTAAAATAATGAGATCCCACCTGCTTCCCTTAAAGCCAGGCACAGTGAACTTGCACCTGTGTATTTGGTAGTGGGAGACCAGTGGTTTAGGTTAGCAGAAACAGCACATCATCTCATGCTATGCAGGTTGGTCTTCACAATGGATATTTTTCTATCCATGTATTTATTCTAATTAAAATTGCTCAGGTTCATAACTGATTTGTCTGCTTCTGGAAATAACCAGCTCTGAGAGTGTAGGCTATGAATTGGTCTGAGCAGTAGGAGCAGCCAGACCAGATTTAAAATTTTGCTATGGGTAGTTCAGAAAAATGGTAATTGTTTTTCTGTGATTATAGAATTGAGTGCAGCTGTATACAGTAGCCCTGTTCTCTTCATTTTCTTTTCATGGTTCTTATGATGCAGGTGTATTTATGGGACCCACAAATATACCATTTACCTCACAAGCACCGACTGCATTTCAAGGTTTCCATCAATGGGTGTACCTGTGCCTGCAGCTCCTGGCCTTATGGGCAATGTGATGGGACAGAGTGCAAGCATGATGGTGGGCATGCCCATCCCCAATGGGTTTATGGGAAATGCACAAACTGGTGTGATGCCACTGCCTCAGAATGTGATTGCCCCCCAAGGAGGAATGGTTGGACAGATGGGTGCACCCCCAACTAAGTTTGGCCTGCCTCAAGCTCAACAGCCCCCGTGGAACCTGTCCCAGGTAAGGGTCATTTATTCTCCACTTTATCCAGAATTGAAGAAATCAGACTTTCTAAATTGTTTTATTTGTATTTAAATCTAATCTGGTAGAAACAGGAGGGATAATGAAGTTATATCAGATAGACAAATGATCTGTCTTTGTCCCTACTTGATATTCTATAAAGAAATGTGAAGTATTTTTTCATTTCCAATATAACTGTAATCTAGTTATAAGAGCTAGAAATTATCTTGGCATCCTAAGAAACTCCCTATCACCTTTGAAATTAGTAACACGCTTTAACCCTGCTCCCTGGTGGGGCATTTGATAGTCTACTTTGGACCAACCTGTCTTTACTAATTTGGGATGGGGTGTAGCTTTCATAAATTAGGGATAAAAATCTAGGCTACTGTCCATGATTTATGAAAAATCTTTTTGTTCAAAAATATAACATTGTATTTCCTTTTTACTTACCCTGTAATTAGGTTTATATTTAGAAAGAGTACCCACTAGTTCAAGAATTCCTATAAGATATGGACAAGTCCATATTTGTTTCAGACATCCCTTCATATTATAAAATCCTGTTTCTACTTAAGTTAGTTTAGTGCCAAGATAGGACACATTACCAATACACTACCTTCTTCAAATGAGTTTCTCTATATTAGGTGCTCTGTCCTGACTTTTCTTCCCGTTACACTCCTCTTTGATAAGATCCCACCTGCTTCTAGCATTTTGGCTCCTGTTCTGGTCAGGTGTTTCACCTTGAGAGCAAGGAATAGTCAATAGTGATTTCTAACCAACATTAGCAAAATCACTATATATCCTATGAATGCTCCAAGTTATTTTTACTATTTAAAAGAATATCTATATTACACTGGTCTCTAATCTCTGGGGATCTAAAAAATGGTAAGTACCAAGTGGCATTAACAGCTTGTGTGTGCCAGAATGCTGAAGTAAGCTCAGGTTAAGGTGCTGGATGAACCAGGAAGGAGTTGACCCTTACTTCAAGGCCTGATGAAGGCTGTTCTCCAGCACGCCCTGCATGAGAGCCATTGGCCAACGACAAGGTGGTTAAAACAACCTTGAGTAAGTATCAGAAGTGATCCTCCGCTATAGACACTTATGCCTCATTAGAGTGATGTAATTCACATTAGTGTCTTTGAAAAACTGCAAACAATACAATCCAACCCTGAGCATAGGTTTTAACTCCACTCTGTACTTAATCCTCTTGTCTTTCCTTAACCTGTCATCTTAGAGGTAAGAACCACAAGGAAAGGGTTAAGATGCTTATATACATACATGACTCCAGTGGAAGAAAACACATTAAATCTTATACCTTATCAAATAATGAAAATTTTAGATGTTTGACCTTTTCTTTAATATTTACAAAGTATATAGAAACATTTAAGATGTTAATAAAAGCTACAATACTCAATTTCTAATTTTGGAGTATTTTACCTTCTAAAATTTCCTTAGTTTTTAGCAATACTTGAGTTGAAAGAACAGTGGACTCATTATACCTAGATACAAATAGAAAGATTGCTTTGGCACTTTTTTCAGTTGTGGTTAATCTTTTGGGGCAAGAAATTGAGTCTAGAAAATGAATAAATATAGTACAGTGCTAAAATGGGAAGAAAGCTGTAGTTGCTTTCTGCAGAGAAATAAACATGTGATGGTTGGCTTTGACTGATTTTTACATGGACAAAAAAATACTTATTTTAATTGCTATTAAGCTTCAGTATCTCTTTGAGGCAGCTTCCAATAAAATCGGGTAACTATTTAAAAATGTCTAACTGTGGTTAAAGAAATAAGTGAGCTTCTTAAACTGAGCCCTGTGTTACCTCACAGGTGAACCAGCAGATGGCTGGCATGAGTATGGGCAGTGCGAGCCCTGCGCTGGGTTTTGCCCAGCCCCCCAGCACGACAGCAGGATGGTCTGGAAGCTCATCGGGTCAGACTCTCAGCACACAACTGTGGAAGTGAGGACTGCACACGAGTTTCATCCAGAGCTACCACCTACATTCCTTGCTGAAATGCATCTAGTTCCCCTGTTTATTCATGTACATATATATTTTTTCTTTTTCCCCATTTGTTCACATTAAGAATTATCTGATTGACTGTGTTGGTTTGTACTGATTAAATTTGATGTGATGAAAAGCAGGTTGAGAAACTATTTCATGTCCAGGGCAGCTTTGCTCATAGTTCTCATAACTTCATAAACCACATTATTTGAGAAGCTGCAAAGTCAACTTGCATAATCAGTTTTACTCAATAAAATTATAGCTCTAATGTTTGCATATAAGGAAAATAGTTATCATGTTAGTAATACCTCTAACAGTATAAACCCCACCCCCAAATTAGCCAGTAATCTTGTAGGAAGGTACTGTATGATCAAATGGTTAATCATAAATAGAATGTAAGTGTATCACTGAGCACTGTTTTCTAGTGTATCAAAATTTTTATTTCATCATTTCCTTCACTGTGCTATTGTTATGATGTGCTTAACAGGGAACGTGGTTAGTGAAAGGAAGATAAACCTGGATGTTACTATAAAACTTAGTTTAACAAATATTTAAAGAATTTGAATTTTATCTGCCTCTTGTAATTTGGATCTCCTCTTATGTACATAGTGCTAATATGATGACCTTTCTCTGCACTATATGCAAACAGGGTAACTAAACAAAGCCACTTTCAGTCCTTGAAGGTATATCCAGGTTTATGACAGTAATTGTGTTTACATTTTATGGTGCCTAGTATTGACAAAATGTTCTATCCCTATATTAAATAGATGAATCCATAGACTTTTTTTGTGGGTTTCATTTCCTACAGTATATACTGCCACCAACCTTACATAAATTAAAGTTGCTAAGTCAGGAATTGGGGACAAAATACCTGTCATCTGTTTCTAAAACCTGTTCAGTTCTACCAGTTATAAGGCCAAATGGGGAAAAAAAAGAAAAGTATATAAGATACTAAAAATGGTACCTGCAGTGTCATTAGCTGTACTGTACAAAGATCTTCCAGTTTAGTTGTAGAGAAAACATGCAGAACAAATGAAGACAGAAACACATTTTATACCAGCTGATTAGCTTATGTTAACTGACAAGCTCTGTTTAAACAGATGTCCATCAGATGTCAATAAAGGCTGTTGTACTGAAGTAAAATGAACAATACCTGAATGCTCTGTAGCCTAACCTCCAAACGTCCTCTTCCACACCCACTGCTGCTCCCAGTTACACCTCGATCTTCACTGTGTCCAGGTGGTACTTGGGCTCGTTGGCTAGATTGACCTTCTCTGTGCGAGTGTGCCACACAAGGACCTAGGGAGGGAGGGAAATCTCTGGGGTAGCCAGCCTCAGTGCCAGCATGCAGCCACATCAAGCAGCACATGAGACATGAATACCTTGGTGCAGTTATTTGCTTTCGGTTCCAGTTCTTCAACAGTTGTTATCTGTTTTAGAAAGTCAGATTCTTGCATCCCTGGCTGGGATCCACGGCGCTTAAATACAGCTTTTGGATTGGACAAGATGACTTGAAGGCTTACAGCAAATCCTTTGTGAGAAGTTTTTAAAAAACACAAAAAGAGAGAGACTTTAAAATATTGGTATACTTTTCTTTTTCTATATAAAACTTTGGTCACATGAAGAGCAGTTTTATCTGCTACTATGTGCCAGGTCCTACTTCACAAAGTTGAAAAGGAGCATCACCTGTATTACAGTCTCAAGAAGAAAAGCAGTCATTACAATATAACAGGCTCGGTGCCTTCACAGAGGTGTACACCGGCGGGGTGGGGGTGGGGATCTGTAAAAAGTCTAGTCTTGATAATAAAGGGTAGATTCTACAAGCTGCTATTTCACAGAAGTCATCACACCCAACATTTGACACTCTGGGGACAACTAAGACCTAAATGTAGCGGAAAAGCATTCACATTCAGCCTAATTGAGCTTGAGGTAATTATGTGAGAGCCCGCCCAGTTCTGCCTCCTTTAACATCTCTGTGTGCACTTATCAAAACCAGCGCTGGTTTTCTTTGAGTTTAGAAGACAGGGATAAAAGGAAAGTTAGTTTGCTAGAACATGAATAATAATCGGTTGGTTGATTTCTGATTTGGTTCAATCTGAAAAATGTGGGTGGGTTGGAAATCAGTGTAGGATATATTAAGCCATTTAATAAATTTGGTTTTTTATATTTCATTTAAAAAATATGTAGTTTTATTGATTTCAGAGAGGAAGGAGAGGGAAAGAGAAACATCAATAAGAGAATAATTGATCGGCTGCCTCCTGCATGCCCACACTGGGGATTGAGCCCGCAACCCGGGCATGTGCCCTGACCTGGGATGAAACCGACCTGGTTCATAGGTTGACACTCAACCACTGAGCCATGCAGGCTGGGTGATATATTTCTTTTCTTTTCTTTTTTTTTTAAAGGAAATTATTGTCAATTTCCTTCAATGGTTTGGTCATAGTAAAGATAATTACTATTTAATCTGTAGTTTAACAGAGTGTCCCTTGCTTTCCCATTAAACACTCTATAAGCTATCTGAGCAAACAAATGTTAAGACCTTTGTAACTGAAAGCCTGAAGCCCAGCCCGCTGCTGTTAATGTCTAAGCTGACACTAAAGTTTTAAAGCTATGAGGACCAATCCCTAGGAACATTGCTTAGCAACTTTTGCCCTTCTCTACATTAATGGAATTGATTTATGCTTATTTTTGCAAAAGTATAGTTTGCAAAGTAAGGACCACATGATACGAGGCAGTAATGGGGGAACTGTGAGGAAAAGCACAACCAGCATTCTCATAACCTCTCCAGATGCAAGGCGGGCCAGTCCCATGTTCTATCTGGACGCTGCTGTCTTTATGGGAAAACTTCCCACTGAGCTACATACAAACACCTTGTACAGCGTGTGCCGAGTGAGACAGGACAAAGGATCATAAAGCATGAGCCTGAGGACTGGTCCGAGCACATTTCACCAACCCTGGGAGAGGCAGCACGTTCTAGCAGAAAGACCACAGAATCTGAAATTTGGAGCCTTTTGGTTTTGCCTGAGTCACTGCACCTGGGACACTGGTCAAGTCCCTTCACCTTTCTTGATTCTGAAACTTGCCCCGTTTCTCATCTGCAAGCGAGGTGCGGTATCTTCTCAACTCGGTGTCAGACGTAAAATTTGTGAATGGAAAAACACTAACTGCAAAGCTCCCTCCAAAAGACACTACACTATATAAATAATACCACTGTCAATGTCGTGAGGGGCAGGTGGGATTAGCCACCTGCCTCGGCGGACAGGGAAAGGGCTTGTGAAAGTCTAGGTAGCCAGCCAGGCCACCTGCGTTTCCCGCCACTTTGCTAACAAGTCTGAAGCCTCCTCAGACAGAATAGCCACAGGCCTCAACCAAAAGCCAAGGTTCAAATTCACACACACAGCGTGACTTTTCTAGTAGGTCAGCTCTGATTTTAGTATTAAAAGGTTCCTGGCTTTTTTTGTGAGCTAGTAAATACGCTTCAGCTTTGTTTCCTTCTCCCTCCCACTGAAGGGGCTGGTCTGTTTCTCACGTGGTTTTCATGGTGTTGGTTGTATTTCCTCATTCTCATAAAAATACAGGGTCCAAACGTGTTTTCCTTCATTCCCCACTGAGACCTCAGCACCCTCATGGCATCGTGACCACTCGGGGATTTAGATTCAGATTATTTTCTTGCTCTCCTTGGCGCAGGGATAGCCTTTAGCTTTTAAAGCAGAGTCCCATGGCAAGTCTGCACTTGAAGCAGAGCAGCCAGCCAGCAGTGGGGCTGATCACTGTTGCTCCAAGGCCCTTTCCTGGATTCCCTGGACAAGGGGATGGGCCTGCAAGGCTGGCACCCTGCAGAGGGCTGAGTGGGCAGCTGACCATAGGAGCCAAGTGGTTGTCTATTTTCTATCACGCTGAGGGGTGGGGCAGTTCAGATGCTCTTCACTCCCACCCCCACTTTCTCTGCAGGCTCCAGCTCAGTGAGGCCTTCAAAGGAGGCAGGTCACAGGGAGCACAGCACACAGGGACAATGTTAACTAGGCCAAGCCCTGGTTGCCTTTTGGGGAATCATGTGACCTGCTGTGAAGCCTGGGAGAGAGCTCTCCCTCTGGAAGCAGGACTTTTAGCTCCTAAACCATTGCTTTCAACCTAAGACGGATATCTTGGTTTGTCTTCATTTCAAACTATATTTGCCTCAAATATTACATTTCCCCTTCACTATTTTTAATGAAATTAATTTAGCTTTAAAGATGTTTGCAGCGGCTATTGAGATACTATGAGCCTTACAAAAATCATGGGCGTAGGATCCTCTGTCCTGGTCCGTTGTATAAATAAAATACAAATGAAACCTGGTTATGCTGTGAATGCATTTCCTGACTTGCAGTGGCATGGGGGACGGGGAAGGATATATCTCCTCTCGGTCAGAGGGACAGGGCCTGCTTTAGTAGGTGCTTATTGATTAATAAATGGAAACATTTGGAAGACATTCAAAGTCCAACAAGTAATTTCCACTTGGGGACAAGATGGAGCAACAAGGGCTGGGTTTTCCCTACTGTCTTACCTAAATCTAGAGAAAATGTTTGAAAAAATGATTTCTAGACAGTGGAAAAGAGGCGTGCAGGACAAAGATCTCTGAAAAAGAAAAAAAGAAAAGAAAAACACACAAGTCCTACATTTGCCTCAGCTTCTTGTCTGAAGGGAGTAGCCCACAGGCTTCACCATGGGGAGGGAGCTCACCGCTCTGCAGGCCCTAAAGCTGAGGAGACAGCAGAGAATCCCAGGAGGCCGAGCCTGGAGAATCCACAGTACAGAGCACGAGAAAGCGCCACTGGCCTGCAGAGGGCTCCACTCACGTCCAACTGCAGATCAGAAAATGCTCTTGTAACTCCCTGCGGCCCAGGAAAGAGCCTGGAGAGAAGCAGGTGGGCTGGTTCTTGCCGCTCACTCAGGGCTGGGTTAGGTCACATTCCCAACAGCCAGAGTGAAATGGTAGTTGGGGCACCTGGAAGAGGAGCTGGAAGATTGTTGTGTTCACCGTGGGGTCACATTAGCCCTGACCTAAAGGTTGCGCTGGTCCTGCCTATCAAACCTTTAAGAGCAAGCCCGGAAAGGATCACAATGCTTCTGAATAACTTAGTTGTATCCCAGAAAAAGGTAAAATACACATAAAGGGGAGGCGGTTCAGATGCGCTTCACTCCTAATCTGGAAGTGTGTGTAAATGTACGGTATACATAATACATAACACAAATAAACATGTATCTTTATAGTACGTAGCAACAAAACATTCAAAATGCCTGATACAAAAATTCCCATGTGTACAAAGAGGCAAGAAACTATAATCCTGTAATTAAAAGAAAAATCAGTCAACAGAAACAAACCCAGAAATGACACTGGTGGCAGAATTATAGAACAAGGGCATTAAAACATTATAAATATTCTTCATATATTCAGAAAGGTAGGGGAAAGATTGAACATGCCAAGTAGAGATATGGAAGACATAAAAAGTCCTAAAGTGCTGGCCACAGTGGCTCAGTGATTGAGCATTGACCTATGAACCAGGAGGTCACTGTTTGATTCCCAGTCAGGGCACATGCCCAGGTTGTGGGTTCAACCCCCAGTAGGGGGTATGCAGGAGGCAGCCAATCAATGATTCTCTCTCATCATTGATGTTTCTATCTCCCTTTCCTTTCCTCTCTGAAATCAATAAAAATATATTTAAAAATATAAAATAAAAAGACTCAAAGCGAACTCATTGTGATGAAAAATACAATGTCTTGAGATGAAAAACCTACTGGCTAGGATTAACACATGATAACACATTAGAAGACAATGACAGAAACTACTAAAAGGAAACACAAACACACGTATGTGAGTACAGAAACAGTAAAGGAATGAAAGGTGGGAGAAGGGGCTAGAAACGTATATTTGAAGAAATAACTGAAAATTTTACAATTTAAAAAAAATCCATAAGGATATACTATAAGACAGACAACACTAACAACCAACTTGACATTTACAGAGCAAGCCGCCCAAGGGCAGCAGAATACACAATCTTTTCAAGTATACATGGTACTTGACACTTGGGTTGCGGGAAACTGAGTCAAGTCTCAATAAATTAAAAAGAATACAAATTGTACAAACTATTTCTCTGACCACATGGAATTAAAATAGAAATCAATAAACGTGTAAACTCGGGCCGATTGTAACTGCGTATTACCAAATATTTCATTTCAATCGAACCCATACTTCAAAAGATAGAGGCAAAAGGGAATGAAAACAGAAAAAGGATCTATGGACAACATCTACAGCATGGTACTTGAGATAAGCTTATGGCAGGGCCATGAGTCAAGTCTCAATAAATTAAAAAGAATACAAATTGTACAAACTATTTCTCTGACCACATGGAATTAAAATAGAAATCAATAATAGAAAGACATCTGGAAAATCTAATATTTGGAAACTAAACAACATAATTCTAAAGATATGGCTCAAAGGAAGAATCAAAAGGGAATGAAAACAGAAAAAGGCACCAAAATCTATGGACAACA